GCAAAATGCGAGCGCTTTTGTGGGCAGAACAGAATGACAAACGAACAACAAGCGAGCAACAACAACACAGACAGATAAAGAACGGGCGCATTGCAAAACGGTAAATGCTCGAGCAGCAGCAGCAGGATCATCAAGGATCCCTTTCAATTGTTTGCCAGGCCGACAATTTCTGCTCTAAATTATTTGCCATCATTTCTGCCTCGTCTTGTGCAATTTTCTTGCCTTGCGTTGCGTTGCACCCCACACTACCCTCTGGCGTTCACCCTCTGCCACTGCGGCACGTCAGTCAGTCAGCCGCAGTGCCGCATCCTTTGCTTCCTTCGGCTTGCTAGCTGTAATTTACTTCCTCTTGTTGTACGTCTCTGACACAGACTCAGACTCTGTCTCAGACTCAGACTCAGTCTCAGTCTATCTCTGTCTATCTGTCGCTGTCTGCTGCTGCTCTCCCGTTGTGCCTGAGTGTGCCTGAGTGTGTGTGTGTGTGTGTGTGTGTGTGTGTGTGTGTGTGTGTGTGTGTGTGTGTGTGTGTGTGTGTGTGTGCTCTTCATTACGCTGGCCATTGTTTTGTCTTGTCTGCCTGCTAGTGCCTCATCCTTCGCAGCCTTCGCATCCCCAATGCAATTTCTGCTATTTTTTTGCTTCTTCTTCTTTTTTCGGCACGTTGTGTTCCAGTTTGCAGCCTTGCTTTTTCAGGGTCACACTCAGTACTCAGTAGTCAGTCCCCCCCTCCTGCTCCGCTCTCTCGCTCTCTCTCTCTCTCTCTCTCTCTCTCTCTCTCTCTCTCGCAGCAGCAGCATTACGTTTTGTTTGAGATTGCCTCGTATTTGACAGTTGACAGTTGGTCGACTTTTGAGTATTAAAGTTATGAGCATAAACATGACATTTTCTTCAGGGCCCCGGGACTCGAGAGCAACTCTCATCCTTTTTGATTTTTATTCTATTTTCGTTTTTCTTCTTCCCCCACTCCCTTAATTTATATATATATATATATTTTTTTTGCCAACTCATGGGCACGTTGGCAATCTCGAGAATTGGCCTGCCTTGTAGGCGTTTGTTCTACCTCATCTACTTAGTGGGTTCCCAATTCATAGCTTAAGGCGTAAAAGGAGTTCGTTTTAAATGTAGTTTTTTTTTATATTTTTTTTCATTTTTAAATATATTTTTTTCCATTTTTTATATTCAAAATTAGATTATTTTTGGTTAGATATCAGTCTGGATATGTTTATGCAATCTGCTCTTCAGCAAATTAATCCTGAATGACAAACACTTTCTCGAGCAGGCATATCTGTTCCTATAAAGTACTTATCTATGGATAATAATGTATTATATTTATTTCTAATTTTATATATTTTAAATATTCGATCACTATTTGGCTCTTTTTTTACCAATTTATATTTGAAGGAAATTGAATTGCGCCCCTTAAAATTGTTAATGGGTTAATGAAGTTCCGATCATGTTAACATGTCTACACACACACACACACACGTGCGCACATGCGAATTTAGATTTAGAGTTGCACTTATGCAAAAGGCAAACAAAGCCGCGCGACAAACATTTGATACACTTTACCCTTGCTCAGCATATGTACTATAGATGTACGTATTTCTTTTTTGGCGCAGCAAATCAAATATCGATAAATTTCGCATACAATGCAAAACAAAACGCATTAATCAAAATCAAACGGAGCGCAACAACAATAATAATAATAAAGCAAAGCATACACATTAAAAAAAAGAAAGGAAAGGGCTGCACTCTCTGCATGGCAAAGAGCGGTCGGCTTAAATAGCCGAAGTGCAAACAGAGCAATCGGCGGCAATCGGCAAATGCGATTGCAAATGCGAATGCAAATGCAAATGCAAATGCAAATGCGAATGCGAATGAGAGTGTGAAAGGCAAAAGATGAGGCGCAAAGTTTATGCGCCAAAGTGCTGCCGGAGCATTAGCCACAGGCCATTGAGCATGCAAATCGACAGAGCGTGGGGCCGTTGCGAAGGGTATACAAACATTCACACACACACACATACACATGTACATGTATGCAAAACGGAGAAGTTGGCGGAGGGGGGTAATGAAAAAGAGCAAATCTAAAGAGTGAAAGTCAAGTGCCTCTTCGTGACGCTCTCCACACACACACATACACACGCGCGCACACTCGCACACACAAGCACACGCGAGCTGCCTGCAGTCGCAGAACGTTTAGTGAAAGAGAATTCATAAAAAAAAAATGAAGAACTGCAGTCAATTTGCATAGCGATCGTCACTCGAGCGGCCCTTGCTTAACTGCGTTTGCTCTCGGGATTTCTTCTTTCTTTTTGTTTTCTTTTTTTTTTTTTGTGTCCGGAGTGTGTGATCGGCTCGTTAATTAAGCGTTAAATCGTTTAGCACATAAAAAAAAAATAAAAATAAAAGAAAGAACGAAAGAAAGAACCTCAGTTGTCGCATGTGAATAATGTAAATTGATTTTGAGTAGTTTTGTGTGTGTTTTGCTTTTTTTGCTTATTTTCCATGTAAACCGCAGAAAATGTGCGGCTTATGATAATTTTTCAATGAGCCCATCGGGAGAGACAGTCAAGGAGACTCTCGGTAGACGCCCAGTCGGCAAGATGCTCGGCAAATCATATTAATCAACAGATCCTTAAAGGCATAACGGTCCCAAAATATACCAAAACACAATAAATGGCTGCGGGGCAGCGCATCTGATGCAATTCGGAGTCTGCATTCAAAATCCCATTTAATCCTTTTGTGCGGCTATGTAAACAGCATAAATCTCGCCGAAACAGAGAACGCGACGAGCGCAAAGCAAAGAAAGCCAAAAAAAAGGAGGGCTGCTCAAATAAATCGCAAAAAGAAAACCAATATGCGAAACCCTTTCTGTTTTTTTTCTTCTTTTTGTGCAAAAACCAACCAAAAAGAGTTGAAAAGTTGAGAAATTTTTCGTGTGTGTGTTTTTTTTGTTGTTGTATTTTTGCGAGGCAAAGCATTCAATTAATTTACCTTTACCCCTTTGTTCTTTGGTTTCGCAGAGGCTGCAGCCGAGACCGATCACGAAGAATGGCCAGTAAAAGCAAACAAAAACAGCAACTTTCACCGCAAAAGAACAAGAAAGAGAGAGAGAGAGAGAGAGAGACAAAAACAGAATAAAACGTGTGAAACTTATCAATGTAATCCTAAAATGGGTAAAAGCAATCTTTCAACACGCTAAAATATATGTGGAGTAATTAGGGAAAAAAATATATTAATCCGATAGGGTTGGCAAATTTTGGGTGTCTTTTTGGGTATAACCTATTAATTATTTGTAGGTAGAAGTTTAGTCTGACTATGAATCATAAGAGATTTCTGGTTATAAGTAGCAAGAACTAAGTAATTCGGAATTCAAAGAAATGAATAAGGCAAAAACAAAAGTAATTTAAGATAAACATACTTAAAATATTACTAAGGGGTTGCTTTGGGGATATCTGATTAAGATCTCTGAAATTGCAAATAAGGATCGGGCATCTATCATTTGAACAGCTGGCAGATGGAATTGTGCGATCTCCACGACAGCATTTAGTGTGTGGGCACTTCTCGAGATCGATGCACAACTAATCAATGGGGGGCTTAACCACTTAGTTGACGATGAACTGATTGACACTCTCGATCTTCGTTGGCAGCGTTGTCTGCTCGGCTGACCATCGTTGACAAGCCGGTCAAAGGTGATCGACTAGGCTTGATTTCATGATAAATGATTGTGGCTCGACATTTGGCCATATGCCACAGCAGTGCCACAGGACGATTGCTAATGTACAGGATCAGCACCTACTCAACGTTTGTAACGTTTTTCAAATGCTTCCTGCGGAAGTTGCAACATTTTCAATTAACTTTTTCTCCTCTTCTTCTTCTTGTTATGTTGCATTTCTGTGGTCGCTAAATAGCCGCAATTAATACTCATATCAGACAGTAGGCAGGAAGTTGTGCAAGTTGTTAGCCTGGCTAATTAACGTGCCTGCCTCTGCCTCTGCCCCTCCATCCAGCAAGTGTCAAAGCCTGTTGCTACAGCCAGGCCAAGCAAAAAAGCAAAAAAACAACAACAAAAAAACCACCGACCCCTAAATGCGACATTCAAATTGACCAGCGGGAAGTGGGGGTAGCGAAAGGAAACCCGACAACAACAGCAACAACAGCAACAGCGACGTCGACAATGACGATCACTTCCTTGAGGGCAAAAGCAAATTTAATAACTTGGCAATTGCCGATAGAGATCTGGAAGTCATTTGGTAAGCGACTGTGGGAATAAATACGCAACCCACCTCCTCCCACACACACACACACACACACACACTCACACACACAAAAAAAGAAACAAAAAAGAAAAAACAACTCGATGACTTGAAGAATCCTTAGTCAATGGTCCTCTTGCCAGCTAAAGCGTTGATTGTAGCTGGCATTGGAAGGGCAAAAATGTAGGATTAAGAAAGAAAATAAAATGGCACCAGAAGAGAGCTTTAAGAAAGGGAAATATTCTGTAGAATGAGCTGCTATAGAGCAGTGGAAGTCAAGCCTTGAGATCGTATCAATGGAATCTCTCAATGAATCAGCGATTTGTGCTTTAAGTTGAGCTTTAAGTGAAGCTATCAGTGAAGGTTTAGGGCACATTGAGAGGCAGCAAGCGGTATAAAGCAACTATTAAAGAACCGACAAAAGCAGAGAAAGAGAGAGAGAGCGAGAGAGTGAGAGAGTGCGCAGAACTCGGGTTGCATGCTGCTAGCGACAGGGTTTGAGGGGTGCGCTTGCGCAACAACCCCTAAATCTTGGACGGGCACGAGTATAAAACGCTGTCCGCTGCTCGGAGCCAATTCAGTTTGTCAGCGAACGCCGAGACGTGAGGAGAAGGAGATAGAGAGAGAGAGAGAGAGCGAGAGAGAGAGACTAGCAGAGATCCAGCGAACAGGAGCGACAAACTCCGCTTACCCACATCCTCCATCCAGCAAAAAAAAAAAACACACACACACAGAACCATCGACATGCTGAAGTGGACGGCATCCACGCAACGATTGCACGAGATGCCCGTACAAAGCACAGCCGGGCAGGAGCCGGCTAGGGCGGGGAGACGGCAGAGACGACAGCGACGGGCCACCATTGCGAACAAGGAGAACGTGCCCCATGTGGGTGAGAGCAGTAACGGTTACATAAACAGGCACAGTTACAGCTCCACGCCCATGGCCATGCCGAGGGTGCGCAACAGTCCGCTGGTATTGGCACCGCTCAGCGACATACGCAATGTGACGCCCGAGACGGTTGCCACACCATCTCCATCCGGTCATCGTCATCGTCGGGTGGTGCAGAGTGTGCGCTATGCAACCACATTGCCACGCTACGAGGTCGAATATTCACCATCAACGGCTACATTGCCCAGCGGGCAGCATTTGGCGTTGCGCGGCCTGCTGCCACTGGATCCGTTTCTGGAGCAGCCCCGCTATATGGCGGCCACACAGCAGCTCAAGCAGCGACGACTGGACGCCGATTTTCTGGCCACCATGGGTCAGCAGCAACAGCAGCAACAGCAGCAGCAGCAGCAACTGCAACCTGCGCTGGCCAGCAGAGCGCAGCAGTTGGTCCAGCGTCCAGTGACGCCGCAGCCATCCACACAGATGGGCGATCAGACGCTGGACAAGCTCATCGATGCGATACTCGATTCGGCGTGCAAGGCGAACGGAACGAACGGTGGCAAGAAGAAGAGGCCGCGTAAGTCATTCAATTTGCGACGACGCACACTGGTCAAACAGCAGCTGGAGACGGAGTGCAGCGGTGCCATATTATCGCCCTCATATGCTGCCGGCGATGATCCGGCCAGTGATTTGAGCTTTAGTGTGCATCCGCTGCTGCCGACTGCAACACCGGAGCCGGCATCACCGCTGTGCCGCTTGCCGCACAGCGTACTGGTGCAGTTGCCGACGCCAACACACTTGGATACCTTCTGCCTGGAGACGCCTGTGCGTACGCTCAAAAGGAGTCGGGGACGGGAGGTGCAGCCAAAGATTGCCGAGTCGCCACTGAAGCGATACAAAGTGGACGCAAGCAATTACTTTGAGGTCGGCCTGGCGCTGCCTTCCTCCATTTATGTCTAGAGAGAGAGAGAGAGGGAGAGAGAGATAGAGAGAGAAAGGAGGAGATAATGCGAGCTAGCCAACGCTGACAAACGGGGGAAAACGCTTAACTATGACGCTTATTTAGTACCTAAGTGGAATCTTAAATAATATATATATATATATATATTTATTTATATATTTCTTTTTTTTTTACTTTAGCATCCTGTACAGAAATTAGCATTTAAGTTAATTTTTTTTTGCCGCTGCTGTTATGTAGTTTTTGTAAATCACTTTTTTCATATTTATTTATTTATTCTTAAGAGAAACCATTTTTTTTTTACCATATATCTATTTTTTTTCTGTTCATTATATTAATAAAACTCTGCAGTAAAATCAAATGAATGCATTTTTTCTTTCGCCTTTGAGGGAGCTATTTAAATAAATCAACTTAAATGTCTTTCACATATTTAATTAAGTACAAATTCATGCATTTGTATTATCTTTCATTATTTTTATATCGATTTTTAAAAATATTCAATTGATTAAAAGTATCAATTAAAAGTATGAATGTGCTACTTGACAGAAGCATAGTGCTTCCAGGTTATACCAATTGGTAGCTGTGCTTACTCCTACTCCTTATGGGCTACCAGCTTTAAGACCACAATTAAGATGCACTTTCGGCTCACCCAAGTAACCAATGCTAGGAAAACTTAGCTAAAATAGCCGACTCAGCTCTTGGCAGATCTAACGGTGCTAAGATTATATTCCATTTGTGCAACATTTCTTGTTTTTTGGCGCATGTTACGTCAGTTGCTTCAGCTGTCAGAAAAAGGGCAGAAATGCTTAAATAGTGTTGCGGCTTTTATTGTTTGTTGTTGTTGTTGCTGTTGTTGTTGCTGTTGTTCTTGTTGCTGTTGCTTGACCAAGTGATTTGCTTTGCTTGTGTTCAAAATAGCAGCAGGTAGTCGATCAGTCGGATCAAAAGGACGCTCAGCAACTCAGCACGCCCCCGTTGCTCTCGACAACAACAGCTGCCAGCCGACTGATCTCAACGATCTCCCTCGCACCAGCAGCAGCAGCACCCTCACCTGGACCCGCTCCTCTGCTCTCCTGCTCCTTTTGCTGCTGTTATAGCTCGTGTTTTGGCTTAGCTCGTGCGACAGCCGTCGAGAGCATTTCACATGACACTTGTTAACACTTTGACGCCCTCGGAGCTCGGAGCGTGCGGCCTTTTCCTTTTGAGACAGAGACAGAGAGAGAGAGAGAGAGAGACAGGCAGACGGAGGAAGGAAGAGAGAGAATGTTAGCCTAGTGCTGTTATTGTTGTTGTTGGGCTTCTGCGGAAAACCCGCAGCGACCCGCTTAATCCGCAACAGCAACCTGTGCGCAGGTTGCCCCTGCCACAGCCACAGCCACTGCCACTGCCACTGCCTTTTGACCTGTCATCGGCTCTCACATTCTTGTGGGTTCGTCCCTAATTTGTTGCCCATTTAGCCTTTGAGCGGACGCGCGTTAATTGAATTATTTTTATTATATTCGGCTGCAGACATTTCCCGGTAACAGTTCAACTGTTTTTCACTCATCTCTTCTGCCCCCGCAGTTTGCACTTGCTCTGCCAGCTCGCCAGCTGTGCTCACCCGCATCGCTAAACTAATTTCCCAAACACGAACACACACAGACACACACACACACACACACACACACACACACACACACAGAAATAGACAGGTAACCCTTTAAGGAAAATTTACATTTTCCTTAGTTGTAAGAGCAGTCGGCACATTTCCGGCACATTTCCGTTCTTCTTCATTTGGCTTCTTTAGTTTTCGGGTGTCACTTGTCTAATCGATAAAATGTTGTTATTAATTGCTTGTAAATGTGATAAATAATTTGAGGAGTGCCAACGGGTGGGGTTTGAACTGGTCACAGCTGACGGAGCAGCACTAAAAGATATTTATGTTAACTACTCAACTCAACAACACTAAAACAGATCGCAAAAACATGCAGAATTCAGAAGAAGTTGGATACCCAACTTAACTTAAGCTTAAGACTCATTTCTAATCCTATTCCGATTTGATAACAATGCTGCGAATAAAAGAATAGTCGATAACTCGATTGATATCGATATCAAATAAAATGGGAAAGAGCTTTAATGTTGTAAGCATGAAAGTCTGTAAGACTTACGAAGGATGAATGTGAATTAATTTGTTTTGACTTTGAAAACGTGATGAGCATTTGAATTGGCATTGGAGAAGCGTGTCCTTGTGCCTTATTTGAAGGACATTTCGAATCGTTTTGTGAATCAATCAATTGTTGTTTGATTGCAGTGCAGAATATGCAAATGACTCAAAGAAAAGGAAACGAATTCAAAGGACCTTTAATTGTGTGCATGCATGTTTCTCTCTGTGTGTGTGTAGTTATTATGCACTTAATCAACAGCTGGCCGCAGAAAGGAAGTGGCTGCCACAGCTCGAGGCGACGCTAAATGGAAAAGAACCCGTACTGCCAGATTGAACAACTGTTTGCCAGTTTGCCAGATTGCCAGATTGCCAGATGCCAACTCGCGATCTTCGCGCACACCTTTTGATTGACAAACAAGCCGCTGGCAAATGGAACTGCTTGCCACTGCCACTGCCACTCCTGCTGCTGTTTTTTTTTGCCTCATGCCTGATGCCTGATGCCTTTACCTTTACCTCTACCTTTTGATCTTTGTATTTCGCCTGGAGTCCATTTGCGCTTCTCAATTTGCGCTAATTTTGGCCGCAGGCGATGAACTTTCGCTCGCAGAAGCTGCTAGCTGCGATTGCCAGCTGAGACGCAGCTCTTCTCCCCACAAGTACACACACACACACACACACACACACAGACAGACACACACACAGCCTAACGAAAAAAGGTGACATTTGGTGCTGACTGCTCCGCATCCTGTTTGGCCTAAGCCGGCTTAGAGAGCATCCTGCCATCCTAGCCTAGTGACTGTCAGCGAGGATGTAGCAATAATTGCCAAAATGTTATGCAAACAATGCCTAAGATTTCCAAATCCACAGGCTCAGTCACCGCGTGTGGCATCATGTGCCAGTGTGAAAATGTGGCAACAACAACAACAACAGCAACAGCAAAAAAACCATTAATATTCAAATCTCCCCGCCAACGTAGCACCCGGAAAATAAAACGCAAACAGGCCACAAAATGGGGTAGCAAATAATAGATACTCTTTCCTCGATTTAATATAATATCAATTAATTCCGCATACATATATATATATATATATATATATATCAGTTGCATATGTATGTGTTTAGATCTCGTCAAATCACTTCTCGAAATCTGAAATATGTTTGAGTTTAGGATCATAATTGAATTCATAATAATCCTAATTGTAATTGTTGCATTTGACTGAGATATGTGTGTATGATTCCCACCGATAAGCTGTATATATATATATATATATATATATATATATATATTGTACTCTCTCTCAGACTAATATTAAATTCGAGTTGCTTTGTGATATAGTCATTCTATCTGAACAATATATGCACCGTGGCTGTGCCAAGTTTCAATAAGTTTCGCAGAGAGCCAAGTACAGTAGGACCTGCTTAAATGGACTTCTGTTCACTATGTATACACTATGTTTGCTCCACACTCCATACTTTGCCATTGAGTAGCAATACCCTTTAGTAAGGGCATTCGAATAATCAAATCAGAGCAAGGGTAGCTCAGCATCAGCATCAGCATCAGCATCATCATCAGCGTAATTAGAATTCATTTTCATTTTCATTTGCCTGCGCAGCGACTAAAATCTGTTAATGATAAACAAATTTTGAAAATGAAAAGGGTTGCAACTGGCTTGACTGCGATGCAGTTGCGACAGTTGCTGCCACAGTTGCTGCATTTTTTTTATTTTTTTTTTTTGGCAACCGCTGCGCTGCCGGCGGCGTTTTGCAAATTTTCAGCGCATTCAGCTAATTAGCTTAGCGCCCGCCCGATTCCCAATGCCCGATGTCAAAGTTGATGTCGATGTCGATGTCGATGTTGGTGAAGTGTTGCCCACTTGGGATGGCAGTGTTGCAACGTCAGCTGCCAAGGGACGAGCTGCTGAAAGTCAAAGTGCACACAGAGAATGGGGAACGGGATCGGGATCGGGATCGGTCGAGAATGTTGCCACTGTTGATGAGTGGGCAGTTTGTTGTTGTTATACGAAGAGTCATCCTGTGCTACAGTAGTCATTCGCAAATGAAAACAATTTGTTTATTTGCTTATTGCAAACATTCTTAGCTTCTTCGAAACTTCTTTGAAAATATTCAATTAAAAAACAACTAAAATTTCAGTTTATTGTATAACTTAGAAATAAGTTCATAATACTAATTAATTACTTGAAACTATTAACAATATGCGCATATGTATGCATATATCTGTAAATACTTCTATAAATAAATAGAAGATTAAAACCGATTAAGTCTCAATTCAAGCTCGACTAGCAAAAGTCAACGATGATTGGCAGTGTATAAAATAAATATGATTTTGCCAAAATTGAAATAGTTTCTGTTGAAATTCGAGTTGATTGTTTCAGTTGCAGCGAGGTATCACTGTAACTGCAACAATGACGCTGCAACTCTTGTGTTTTCTGTGTTTGTGTAGAGCACATTCAAACAACAGTTGGCCAAAAAGGACGCGTGGCCAGCAGCTGCCAGTGTTGCCACACAGCGCCGCCGGTCATTACATATGCATAAGTGTGAATATGCCTCTGTGTGTGTGTGTGTTGCAAAAGTCAATGCAAATTTGTGCAACATAAGAGCTGACTGCTGCTAATGATAACATGACACAATTATTGCTAGCAGCCAAGTTGCAAGCTTTCCTATCAGTTGTTGCAACTTGCAGCCCCGCACGCTTTGTGTGTTGCTGTTGCTGTAAAAATATTCCAGCACGGGGTGGCAACAGGACTACTCCTCATCATCATCATAATCATCATCATCATAATCATTTTCATATTTCACATTCAACATTTACATACCATTCACATTCTGCGAACGCGACGC